GGTGTTACTGGCTGGGCCAGCATTCATCGCCTGTCCCTAGGAAATATAGAATCATAGAATTTTACAGCCCAGAAGGAGGCCATTCGACCCACGAGTTCCTGAAAGAGCTACCCAGTTAATCTCATTCACCAGCATTCATCACGTTCAAATATATATCCAGCTCTCGATCGAAACCTCGTATAGAATCTGCCTCCCTCCCTCTCCCAGGCAGTGCATTCCAAATCCTAACCACTATCTGACATTGCCTGTCCATCCTAAAATTGAGGTGAGCTGCTTCCTTGAACCGCTGCACTGTATGTGCTGTAGGTAGATCCATAACGTACTTAGGGAGGCAATTCTAGGAATTTGACCCAATGACAGAGAAAGAATGGCAATATAATGTATCCAGTTTTGGGCATCATTGTGTTCAGTTCTATTGCTTTATTTAAGGCAGAATTTTAAAGTGGTGGAGAGAGTGCAAAGGAGACTTACTAGAATCATAACAGAAATGAGGGATTTTAGATACAATGAAAGATTAGAGAAATTGGGCTTATTCTCCTTGGGGCAGAGAAGATTAAGATGTGACCTTACTGAGCTGTTCAAAGTTATTAACAATTTTGACAGGGTAAAGGAGGATAAGCTGTTATCACCTGTCGCTATGTTACTAACGACGGTCACAATTTCGAGACTGTCAGCATGACAAGGGTATTAGATGAGGAGAAATTTCTTTACTCAGATAGTGGTTAGGATTTGGAATGCACTGCCTAGGAGAGGGATGGAGGCAGATTCTATACGAGGTTTCGATTGAGAGCTGGATATACATTTGAAAGTGATGAATGCTGGTGAATGAGATTAACTGGGTAGCTCTTTCAGGAACTCGTGGGTCGAATGGCCTCCTTCTGGGCTGTAAAATTCTATGATTTTATATTTTCAAGTCAGGATGGTGAATAGTTTGGAGGAGTACTTGCAGATGGTGATGTTCCCATCCATCTGCTGCCCCTGTCCTTCTGGATGGAAGTGGTCTTGCATTTGGAAGATCCTGTCTAAGAATCTTTGGTGAATTCCCGCAGTGCATCTTGTAGCTAGTACACAATAGTATAATTGCACGTCAGTAGTGGACAGAGTGGACACTTGTGGATGTGGATACCAATCAAGCATGTTGCTTTGTCCCGGATGGGGTCAAGCCTGTGGATTGTGGACAATCTTTGGGGAATCAGGAGGTGACTTACTTAATGCAGTATTCCTTGCCTCTGACTTGCCTTTGTAGCCACTGTATTTATATGGTGAGCCCATTGCCAATTCTGGTCAATGGTAACCTCAAGGATGTTGATAGTGGGGGATTCAGGTATTGTAGCACCATTGAATGTCAAGGGGCAGCGGTTAGATTGTCTCTTATTGTGGATTGTCATTACCTGGTATTTGTTTGGTGCGAAAATTACCTGCACTGTCAATCCAAGCCTGGATATCATCCAGATCTTGTTGCATTTGAACATGGACTGCCTCAGTATCTGAGAAGTCGTGAATGGTGCTGAATATTATGCAATCATGGCAAACATCCCTATTTTTGACCTTATAATGGAGGGAAGGTCATTTATGAAGCAGCTGAAGATGGTTGGGCCTAGGGCACTACCATGAGGAACTCCTGCAGAGATGTCCTAGAGGAGAGATGATTGACCTCCCACAACCACAACCATCTTCCTATGTGTCAGGTATGACTCCAACCAGAGCAGAATTTGCACCCTGATACCCATTGATTCCAGTTTTGCTAGGGGTCCTGATGCCACAATTTGTTAAATGTGCTCTTGATATCAAAGGCTGTCACTCTCACCTCGCCTCTAGATTTTAGCTCTTTTATCCATATTTGAACTGAGGCTGTAATGAGGTCAGGAGCTGAATAGCACTAGTGGAACCAAAGTGGACATGCGTGAGTAGGACGTTGCCAAGCAGATATTGTTTGATAGCACTGTTGATGACACCTTCTATCACTTTACTGGTGATCGAGAATAAATGGCAAGTACCAAACTAAAAACTGAAAGAATGACAGATGCTGGAAATCAGAAACAGAAACAGAAATTGCTGGAAAATCTCAGCAGGTCTAGCAGCATCTGTGGAGGGAAATCAGAGTGAACATTTCAGGTCCAGGGACCCTTCTTCAGACCTTTTCCCTAGATACCATCACACCTTTCAGTATAGGAGTTGAGGTTGAACAGGAATTTGATGAGACCTCTTCTGGAGTGCTGTGTGCAGTTCAGCTCACCTTGCTATCAAAAGGATATTATTAAGTTAGAGAGGGTTCAGAAAAAATTTACCAAAATATTGCCGAGAAAGGGGGCTTGAGTTATAAAAATATGCTGGGACTTTTTTCACTGGAGCATATGAGGTTGAGGGCTGACCACATAGAGGTTTATAAAATCATGAGGGATGTAGATAAGGTGAATAGAAAGGGTCTTTTTCCTTGGGTGGGGAGTTCAAAGATAGGGGCATATTTTTAAGGTGAAAGGAGAAAGTTTTAAAAAGGACAGGAGGGGCAACGTTTTTACACTGAGAGTGGCTCATGTTTGGAATGAACTGCCAGAGGAAGTGGTGAATGTAGGTACAGTTACAACATTTAAAAGACATTTGGATAAGTACATAAATAGGAAAGGTTTGGAGGGGTATGGGCCAAATGCAGGCAAGTAGGACTAGTTTAGTTTGGGAACTTGGTTGGCGTGGTCTAGTTGGACCAAGGGGTGTGTTTCCATGCTATATGACTCTATGAATCTATGATGAAGGGTCACTGGACCCAAAACTTTAACTGTGATTTCTGTCCACAGACACTGCCAGACCTGCTGAGATTTTCCAGCAATTTTTGTTTTTGTTGGGGTAATTACCGGGTTGGATTTGTCCCACCTTTTGCATACAGGACATACCTGGGCAATTTTCCACATTGTCAAGGACTCCTGCTCTGGTATCAGCAATGATGATGCCGATGTCCCAGGAGACCCCAGCTCTGCTGCCGTCTGACACCTCCAAGTGTCCAGGCTCTGGGCCTACCACTGCCAGGAGTCCCTGCTCCAGGCACTGCTACTGCCAAGAGTTCAAACTCCGGGCACTGCAATCGCGGCCAGCAGTCTCGATCCATGCTACTGATGCTGTAGCCATTGCCCCACCGACATTTCTTTCTCCATCTTTGAGGCCGGAGCAGAGAGAAAGGAAAAGAAGTCGCGAAAAGCACATAGAGAAAAGGATGCTGCTGCCGTGGGGCAGCTGGGATCGTATGAGCTCAAACACTACCTACAATGCCGGCGCTGCCATCTTGATGCGCTGGGCTCTTACATCATTGAGGATTGGGATATCTGTGGAGCCTCCTCCTCCGGTGAGTTGTTTAACTGTTCACCACCACTCGCAACCGGATACAGCATGACTGCAGAGCTTGAAGCTGATCCATTGGTTGTGGGATCTTTTAGCTCTGTCTATCACTTGCTGCTTATGCTGACTCATGCAAGCAGTCCTGTTTAGTAGCTTCACCATATTGACAGCTCATTTTTAGACACGCATCATGCTGATCCTGGCATGCCCTCCTGCACTCGCCATTGAACCAGGGTTGATCCTCTGTCTTAATGGATGGGCCATGAGGTTGCAGATTGTGCTGGGGTACAATTCTGCTGCTGTTAATAGCCCACAGCGCCTCATGAATGCCCATTCTTGAGTTGCTAGAATTGTTTGAAGTCTGTCCCATTTAGCATGGTGACAGTGCCAGACAACATGATGGAGGGTATTCTTAATTCGAAGGTAGTACTTTGTCTCCTCAAGGACCTCGTGGTAGTCAGTCTTACTGAGACTGTCATGGACAGATGCATCTGCAGCTGGCACATTGACAAGGATGAAGTTAAGTATGCTTTTCCCTTTTGTTGGTTCCCTCACCAACTGCTGCAAACCCGGTCTAGCAACTATGTCCTACAGGACCCGACCAGCTCAATCAGTGGTGCTGCTTCTGAGCCATTTTTGATGGTGGACATTGATTCCCCCACTTAGAGTACATTTTGCAACCTTACTACCCTCAGTTTTTCCTCCAAGTGTTGCTCAACTGATTCATCAACTGGCACGTGGTAATCAGCGGGTTTCCTTGTCCATGTTTAAACTGATACTGTGAGACTTTGTGAGGTTTGAAGTCAATAATGAGGACTCCCAGGCCAACTCCCTCCCAACTGTATAGCACTGTGCCACCACCTCTGCTGGGTCTGTCTGTCCTGCTGATGGGACAGAACATATAGAAGGATGATGATGGCATCTAGGACATTGTAAGGTATGATGCAATGAGTATGTCTATTGCTTGACTAGTCTATGAGAATACTCTCCCAATTTTGACACAAGCCCCTTGATATTAGTCAGGACTTTGCTGGGTCACCAGGGCTGTTTTTGGCGTGTTGTTTCTGGTGCCCAGTTCATTGCCAGGTGCTCAGTCTGGTTTCATTTCTTTATTGAGACTTCGTACTGATTAATACAACTGAGTGGCTTGCTCGGCCATTTCAGAGGCAGTTGAGAGTCAACCACATTGTTGTGGGCTCGGAGTCAGATGTAGGCCAGACCAGGTGACGTTGGCAGATTTCCGTCCGTGAAGGAAGGACATTAGTGAACGACATGGCTTTTTCAGACAATTGATAATGGTTTCATGGTCATCAATTGATTATTAATTCCAGATATTTTTAATGAATACAAATTCCATCATCTGCCATGCAGGATTTGAACGCGGGTCCCCAGGACATTAGCTGAGTTTCTGATTAATAGCCTAGCGATAATACCACTAGGCCATTGCCTTCCCTTTAAAAAACATATTGCTTGTTATTCCAAAATAAAAATAACAGAAATTGAAATATTTACTATTTAAAGTAGTGTGTATTATTTACATTTTAAGCACAGAACTGAAGCTGAATTTATCTTTTGACATTCATATATAGTACATTCCAATATTTAGTCATTTATGTTGGGTTTAAACTTTTTGACAGTGCTACCATCACCAAACATTAGAAATTTTGATTTACCTCTTCTGTTCTCATGGTAACTAGCATCTCCCTGTCGGTATTCAGCAGCTTTTTGCTCTCTCCTTCTGCACCTTCTCCTCGATTATTGGAACAGTAATGGTTATCTGCTATTGTAATCTCTTCGTTTTCCTCCGCTTCTAGCTGGCTCTGGTTAAACCGCAGTGATCCTTTCAGAATATCTTTAATCTGTTTGTATTTAAGACAATAAATGGTCAAATTTCTAAGATAGCAAAGCTAAACAAAAATTTCCAAAGCAAAGAAGGGTGTTTGAAAATATGTGGAAACATGGCTTAGAAACAGGCATTTAACAGTTATTAGATTTCTAAAAAAAGAGCAACTGTGATGTTAATTATACTTTCTTCCCCATCAATGCTCTACAAAGCAGTAGGTATACAATATTGTTTGTCTTCAGTTTCTCATGAAATGTATACATGATGACATTATACCACACATCTGATATTGGATTCTACAGCAGCTCTGGGTAATTGCAGAGTTTAAAATAAACTGCTTCCAGATCAATCTGTCATCTGCTTTTAATCTGGGAAAGGTCAATGAGGAGCTGTTATCCTCAGTACAGGTCGCCACTGACAATAGTGACAGAAGAGGAGGAAAATCAAAGTGGAAGCTAACTGAAAGAAAGGACAAAAGGTGCCAAGTTTAGCAGAGCAGAATAACTGCCATTCTGGTATAAATCTTTGAAGAGACAAGCTAATCTCAAATTTCAACACAGGAAGAGGAGCATATCTGGAGTATAGAGAAAACAAGATAGCTTAATTATTATTCATGTATTATTTGTAACATGTAGGAAAGAAAAATGTTTGTAATGGAAAGAAAGACTGAAGGTTAGACATGACAGAAGAGTGGTGTTCAGAGAAAATTTCCATCCTATCCAGGGATCTAAAGCAGATATTAATGCAAGAATCTCCCTAGCTTTGGGAGCAATATTGAGATTGTTTGTACATAGATTTTTGATTTACAGAAAACTGTGTTGCTGAAAGAAGCTTTAGCAATAGAGTTGGAGACAGTATGTTCCACTGAAATCAGAAGACAGGAGGCCAAGAACTGCGATAAACGGTTTTAATTATGAAAATAAGAGCAAGTTAGTTGGCTGGAAATTTTATGGTAACTCACCTCCTGACTCTCAAAACTCTGTTCACCATTTACAAGGCACAAGTTAGGAACATGGTAGAATATTTCCACTTGCCTAGAAGAGTGCATCCCTGCTCTCAAGAAGCTCAATTTCATCTAGAACAAAGCAGCCGCTTTGACATCTCCATATATCAACTTAAACATTCACTGCATGCACCACCAATGCACAGTAGCAGCATGTACAAAGTACACTACAGTAACTCACCAAAAATGCTTCAACTACACCTTTCAAATCCTACTTGACAGAAATACAAGGGCAGCAGACGCAAAGGAACACCACGATCTGCAAGTTCCCTTGCAAACTACTTGCCATTCTTATTTGGAGTTATATAATTACACACTCAATATTGTTGGACCAAAATCCTGGAACTCATTTTCTAACAGTACGAGTTTATATGACCAGATGGATCGCAGAAGATTGACATCCATCACCTTTTAGGGTTCTTGCCAGCAAGACATCATCACAAAAGAATATATAAGGATACTAATATTTTACGACTGATCTGGTAGCCTCACGCAATGCTCAATGCACTATAGTCATTCACTCACCTACCAGTCTCTTGGATCCACAACTCACTTACATTTACCTCATTTCCATACTTCACACTACCACGACTTAAATATGTTGCCAAATACTCATGGAGTCATTAAGCATAGAAACAGATCCTTCAGTCCAACTCATCCATACTGAACAAGTTTCCCAACTAGTCCCATTTACCTGTATTTGGCACATATCCCTCTAAACCTTTCCTATTCATGTACATGTCCAAATGGCTTTTAAATGTTGTAACTGTACCTGCATACCACTTCCTCTGGCAGTACATTCCACACACGAACCAAACTGTGACAGAAAATGTTGCCCTTCAGGTCTCTTTTAAATCTTTATCCTCTCACCTTAAAAATATGCCCTCTAGTTTTGAACTCCCCTACCCTGGAAAAAGACCTTTGCTATTCACCTTTTCTATGCCCCTTATGATTTTTTAAACACCCATAAGATCACCCCTCATCCTCCAAACCGCCAGTTAAAATAGTCCAAGCCTATCCAGCCTATTTTTATAACTCAAACCCTCCATTCCTGGCAACATCCTGGTGCATTTTTCCTGAACCCTCTCCAATTTAATAATATCCTTCCGATAGCAGACTGACCAGTACTCTACACAGTACTCCAAAAGATGCCTCACCAATATCCTATACAACTGCAACATGACATCCCAACTCCTATACTCAATGGTCTGAACAATGAAAATAAGCATGCCAAACGCTTTCTTTACCACCCCGTCTACCTGTGATGCAACTTTCAAGGAACTATGTATTGAGCCCCGAGGTCTCGGTTTTGACATTCTCCTGGACCCTATCATTAACTGTTTAAGCCCTGCCCTGGTTCGTCTTATCAAAATGGAACACCTCGCATTTATCTAAATTAAATTCCATTTGTCACTCCTCATCTCATTGGTTGAATTAATCAAGATTCCTTCATCATCTTAGATAACCTTCTTCACTAAAATTACACCAGTAATTATAGCGTCAGCCACAAACTTACTAACCATGCTTCTGAAATTCTTATTCAAATTATTTTTATAACCGACAAGTAACAGTGGACCCAGCACCAATCCTTGCGGAACACCGCTGGTCACAGATCTTCAGTCCGAAAAGAACCTTCTACCATCACCTGCTGTCTCCTCCCAACCACCCAATTTTGTATCCAACTGGCAAGCTCTTACTGAATCCCATGTGATCTAACTTTACTAACCAGTCTAACATGCGGAACCTTGTCAAAGTCCATGCAGACAACATCTACCGCTCTGCCCTCATCCATCTTCTTGGTCACATCCTCAAAAAACTCAATCAGGTTTGACAGACATAACTCCCCACACACAAAGCCATGCTGACTAACAGGTACATCACCCAATCAGACTGCACAACACTCACAGAAACACATTTCTTTTTCTCTTCCAAGACTAGATGGCATACAATCAGGAGACTTAGCACCTAATTTGGCGTACGATAGGCACATATTCTTACCCTTATGGAAAAGACAGTGCTTGCTTTGTTGGATGGTGGTGACTAAGGCCACTAAAAATGACTGGCCACAAAATAGTTTTCTAAAGCAGTATGTTGAGGAACAAACTACTGAACAGACTATTTTAGATATATTACTGTGCAATTCAAAGTGGCTACTTAATAACCTCGTTGTAAAGGAGTCTTTATGAAAGAGTGACCATAATATTATAATAATCTAAATTAATTTAGAGATGAATTCAAGGGCTGAATGTCTGACGGCTGGTCCCATTTCATTTGTACTTATAATGCATATACCCCTCCTTCTCTTATCCTACTATCTTCTCACCCCATACATTCTTCTAATAAAGGAGCTGCAGACGGTCTAAAACATGCACCTCTTGTGTTTTTTTTCTTTTTTCATCACCTCAAGCCTACCCTGTACATTCTTCTTTTTAGATACCTATAAAACTACGACCAGATAATGGAGGAGCAAGAGGTGGGAAAGGAAGAGAAGACTGGTGACGAAGAAGAAACATCATTTGATCTCTCACATGTAGCCACCAGCTCTCATACTGATCCTATGTGTACTTCAGAGCAGAGTTTAGAAGTGGGACTTGCACACTGAGACAAGTGGCCTGTAGCTTGGGCAGAGGTTATATAAATGCCAGCTCACTGGAGGACCAGGTCGCACCTGAATTCTGTGCAGAGAACTCCAATGATGACCTCAGTACGGGAAAAGGTTGAATGGAACATATGAACACACAAAACAGGAGCAGAAGTAGGACATTTGGTCCCTTGAGCCTGCTCCCAGATGGTCTGTTTGTCTTTTTAGCTCCACATAGGCCTCCTGCATATCAAGAATATATTCATTGCTTTCTTAAAAACTTTTAACAACCCCACTTACATTTCCTTCTGAGGCAGAGTTTCAAAGCCTGCTGCCACCATCAAGAAGCATGGTAAAGTACAACATTAACTTTGTACAAGTGTCTGCAAGAACAGGAGTACAGAAATGGTCAAACAAGTCACTCAGTTGCTTTAAAGTGTTAGGGAGATTGAACGGAATGAAACTGGATTAACCAACTGGCAAGAAACTCAGCACCGGAAGCAAAAGGAAATACAGCCCTGATGACCCTTACCCTTAATAACATCTGGCAGTTTGCAGCAGCGCTATTCCACAGACTGACATAGTCATACTCATGGAATCAAAACTTCCCGGGTCCTTGATATCACCATCATCATTCTAGAATACGTCGTGACCCATCAGCAGATAGGAAAACAGTGGCATGGAGTCGGGGTATAGTTGCCTCAGGAGTTCTCAACATTGACTTCAGATTCCATGCAGTGCATTAAGTAACCATTGTTAGACATAAACAAGGAAATCTGCTGATTACCACCAATCTCCAATGCCCCATAGCTGATGAATCAGTATTTCTCCATGTTGAAAATAAACGGTGGCAATGGTATAGAATGTAACGTAGGTGGGGGATTTCAATGTCCACCTCCAACAGTGGCTGGGTAGAAACAAAGACTGAGCTGGCCAAAGGGCAGAGTTACCAGACTGGATCTATGGCAGCTGGCAAGGGAATCAAAAAGAGGGAGAAGCCTACTTGACTTTATCCTTAACAATTTGTCATAAATGCATCTGGCCAGGACAGTCAGTGGCCACCATACAATCCTTGTGAAGACGAAGTCCTGTCTTTACAGTCATTCTTCCATGATGTGTAGATTCTGTTGACTAAACTGACATTTGTTCGTGATCCCGAATTGCTTTTGAACTGAGTGGCATGCCGTGCCATTTCAAGGGGAACTTAAGAGACAATCACATTGTTGTGGGCTGCATTCTCTCTAATTTTCTTTCTGGCTGCGTGGCCTGTGCATGGCAGAAACTCCTGGAACCAGAAGACGATGCCGGGATTGGTGAGATCACCTTGGATGGAGGCTTGCAGCAGCTGTGCAGTACACAGCTATGAAGCTTAGCGGCAATACTGATTGTGAGTCTGGAGTCACATGTAGGCCAGATAAGGGTGGCAGATTTC